GGCTAGGTCTGTATATTAGTCTGAGGCTAGGTCTGTATATTAGTCTGAGGCTAGGTCTGTATATTAGTCTGAGGCTAGGTCTGTATATTAGTCTGAGGCTAGGTCTGTATGTTAGTCTGAGCTGGAGTTGAGGGTAGAAGGGTTTTTGTTTTTAAGAGAAGAGAGTTGGTTTTTAATTTAATTCTTGAATGATTTTTAGAATCTGTATAAATGATGAAACTCATTTTGACAGTAAAACAAAAATAAATAATTTAAGATTACTATATACGTCAGCGTTTCCCAGATGTGTGGCGTGCCCCAAGAGGGCGCAAATGATCTCTTGGAGGGGGCGAGGGATAATGCAATGTTGCAAAATTAAGCGTTTTAATATATATATATATCATTAATGAAAATTATAAGTAATTAATTCAATACATATAGCATATTAACGCCGTATATTACATCTCATCACTTAACTTACTCTTTTTCTTTCACTCATCTACAAAATGAAGGGGGAGGCGGTGCAAGAAACTATATTTATTAAAAGGGGAGGGCGTGGATGACAAATGCTTGGGAAACGCTGGTATACGTATTTACAGACGTATTTAGCATATATAATGATACTCGATAAGGCTTTACCGATTGCATGAGGGTGATGACAAGAAACTGTTAATCTAGATTCCATGGCGTTACTATAAAGAAAGGTATTAACACTGTTTTAGAGAGGAACCTACCATATGTTTTAAAGAATCTGTTTAGTTCTGTAGAGTATAGGTCTATTCCGAATAATTGGGTTGCGATCCTAAAGCAAATGCTGCTTACTATCGAGTGTCACTTTCTTACTTGGTGTGTTTTGAAAAGAAGTCATGATATCTAATCAAAATCACTTTAGGTGTGAAAAAAAGGTGTGGCAAAAAAAAAAAAGATTGAGCATGTGAAAGCAAAATGAGTGGCCAAACTGGTAGCTAGGCCGCATTTTTCGTTCAACTTTGGGACATGATGGTGGGTAAAACAAAAAACGCGGTCTAGCTTACTAATGAATATATATTTGCTTTAAAATTCTTATCAATGCTATAATTGTAGTCACCAGTTTGGCTGCTAATTTTGATTTCATTCCTTAAAGTCGCATGATCAATCCTTTTTTGCCCGCACCTTTTTTTTCATACCTAAGATGTTTTTGATTAGATTAAAGTTATTCAGCCTACAATGAAATTTCAAATGTGTACATACGTTAAAAGTTCAAAGAATTTCTCAGGTGTTATTACTAACTCAAGAGATTTTGTTTATTTTCGGATATTCGTGTAAAGCTATTTAAGAATTATCGTTCCTAATTTTGATTGCCGGTTGATTGAACTTTGCGCAAACCCACTTGATTGTTATTAGCCACTGGTTCAGAAATGATAGACTAAATAGTTTTTGTTTGTTTGTTTTCAAATTTCATACAAAATATCTGCTCTAACCGTCTCTAATTTGGGTTTGTCATGGCTTGGTGGTTAGGCGCTCGGCTCGCAATCTGAGGGTTCGAATTTCTGTCACCGAATATGCCCAACCTTTCAGTTGTGGGGCGTAATAATGTGACGGTAAATTCCCCTATTCGTTGGAAAAAGACTAGCCCAAGAGTTGGTGGTGGGTGGTATTGACTAGCTTCCTTCCCTCTAGTCTATCACTGCTAGATTAAGGACAGTTAGCTCAGATAGCCCTCGTGTAGCTTTGCACGAAATTCTAACCAAACGTCCCTAATTTTGAAGTGACAGGCCAGAGTGAAGGTAGCTAGTCATCTCTTGGGGTATCTTTTATCAACGAAAAGGCGAGCGTGTTTCATATTGGGATTCAAACTCGCAATATGTAGATGGCGAGTCAAATCCCTAACCACCAGGCCATGCCAGACCTAAAAAGAGTGGGCATGTTTGGTGATAGGATTTGAGCCCGCAGATTGTGAGTTGAGTGCTGTAATCACTGAACCATGCCAGACCTCTAATTTCGAATGGCTACTCTAATCTATTGCCTGACCGAACAGTAGGATTTAAATGTCTTCCACCGGCTCACGAGGGACCCGTTAATAACACCTTACATTACTAGATGGATAGAGTGAAGATGGGATCAAGATCAAGACTGATATTTTTCCTGTAAATTTTTTTTTCTTTTGTGATGGATTTACTCTCATATATCTCTTTTAATATCGATGTTTGTTTAAGTTAAATTTATATTTAGAAATGTACATAACTTACACTGTTAAATCTGTATTGCGAAATTCCAGCCTATTCACTAAAATTGTAGAACATTCTCGAGTGTAAGAATCAACAATATATGTGTGTACATAAACACTGGTGTATCGGTTATATTGTCGCGTAAGCTGAAATTTCGAGAAACACTCCTCACGCCTATAAATATAACCAATGCGACGCACCATAAGACAGTATATGTTATTGGTGTGCTATAAACTTCGGAAACTATAACTTTGATTGTTATAACGCTTATTAATCGGGAACTTCAGATATTTGACCAGGAACGTTTATAGATTTCGAATATTACAAACCTTTTAATTTCAGCGAATTCACATCGGACATTAGTACTTTTACGAAAACATTATATAACTTCAGAGGTAGACAACTCCTGTGTGACCCGTGAATAATGAAGACCACAGAGATAGCTAGCTACCAGTTAAGTAAATTGTATCTACATCAACTCAAAATTAATTCGCTCATCGAGAACCCTCGATAAGATATCAAGGAAGCTCCAGACCAGGTAGAGGACTAAATATTGTTTGTAAATCTTTTATATACAAATCATTGTTCGTTATAACTATTTGTAATAACTGTTATTGTAAATTGTGTTATTGTTTGTATATTAAAATATATTTTTATATAAAAAAACTGTGTGTAACAATCTTTTTGGCAAGTGTCATAAATTTGATACATATCGAAATTTAATTTCTAAATATAGATTATTACTTAACTCAGTTTAAGGCTATTCGAAATTATGACAGGTAACATAATAAATTGGGGGCTCGTCAGGGATAAATTGTAAGAGGTAACACTTTGTTTTATTTTAATCTAAGTGACTGAAAAAGAGTGATTGACCTGTGTCCTCGAGCCATCATATCATAACAGTGCCTCAGCGATACACATGATAGCATTAATGTTACAAACATTAGCACGACTCTCAGTTTAATTATTAGCCACATTGTTACATCACAAAAATGTGATGGAGGCTA